TTTTTTTTTTGCAGAAAAACTACATCCATGCTATGAGCTCTACTGTTAATCTTTTTATACACTTTATAAAATGGCTCATATCTAACAATCTCGATACAGACTTAATTCTTTGGAGAGCACAATACCATCGCAGATATAAATGAATGATATCAACGTATTTTTAGCGGGCTAACGATTGCGAGCATAGCTTCGCAATAGTGATGCAATAAGGCTGCAGCACTAAGCCAAACACTAGCAAGAATACATTTTTATTAAGATAACAACAAAACAATTCAAGCAAAAACTAAGACAAAAACAAGTATGGTACAAAGAAGTAAATTTTGTAAAGAAAGAGCGTCTTTAATCACCGGCAAATCTTCAGCAATGGAAAAGTAGAAATTAGCATTTAATATGAAATCTACATAAGGATAAGTTTTTTCTGAGATCTTAACAATGATCTGTGCTTAGCTCTCGCTTTCATCAGGAGGTTCGTCGATTAACAAGTGTTCGGGGGATGAACACGGTGATTGGACGGGCTCACTACATGCAGGTGAACTCATTGTGTTCGCTGAAGTCTCGAACGGTCCATCCATCCCAACGACAGGTTCATGCACATTTTCAGCAACTAAAGAAGACAATGTCTTCGTTACAACACCATCGAAAAAGTCTGCGAATCCCACCACTCTGATGCATCAGTTTCATTCTCTTTGCTCTGTCCTTTCTTTTTTGGCTTTTGGTTCTTTTTGCGCCTGATTGTCTGCCCTGAAATTTTAGCAGTCACAAAATAATTGTTGCTCAATTTGTTGAATCCTGACTAGACAGCATTAATGGTAATAACTTTCGTTTAAGGCTTGGACCGTATCTAATAGCAAAAGAAGAGATTGGCAAATTCTAGATACAGTCCTCTGAGGTTCTTACCTGAGGAAATGAAGATCCAGTAAGTTGTGCCATGGCAATACTCTTCAGTTTACTATCCTTCGCGACATAACATCCGGGAGCCCTCTTCTGCATGATCTGAACGCAACTGTAGAGATATCGATATCAGTTAATATCCACATGACTAACTTGCCACTGCAGAGGAACCATCGGTTCGAGACCCTCGAAAATGCTGCGGATATGGGGAGGAATATCGGCGATCGAGATAGCTCTATTGCTGCAGTCCAATAGATCAGTTCTGACCACGAAACAGCGATTATCAAAAGGATATCAACTGTTGAAGAAGAGGACGGAGGGGGAGGGAGGGGACGGGGGGAGGGGGAGGGAATAACTAAAAATTACTTACGAGTTTGTTTCCGAAGT